ATATATATATATATATATATATATCAAGTGTGGAATTGGTATATACGGAATAAATTCCAATAACCAAAAATACTATTCTTAAAAGAGTGCTCTATACAGAGTAGAGCAAATATAATTTATTCGAAAATTATAACGTAAATATGCTATAAAATCACTACAAATATAGCCATTTTGTTTCAACACTTCTCGTGTCTTATCAAATGATAGTGTGGAATGTTGAATCTCCCTTCAACACCATCACTTGATAAAACACCAGAAATGTTGAAACAAAATGTCTATTTTTGTAGTGATTTTATAACATATTTATGTTATAATTTTTTAATAATATATATATATATATTAAGACATTTTTATGTTTATACCTTCTTTATAGATACAGACATTTAAGCAAATGCTCTGTCTATAATAAACAACACTTACTAGCCTGAATGTCCGAGAAATTGTAATAGAAAATATGCCTGCTTCGACAGGAATCGAACCTGTATCCTATACGGAACCGTCATATAGCCTGACGTACTTTTATCGATTTTTCCGCAGAGGAGTGTTTCGGTTAGCAAAGTCGATTTTACTGTTTTTAAACTACAATCTTCCATGATTTTCTCACGTACATTCATATCTGCTCATGGCGTATCTAAATGTAAACAAATGACATCACACATTATGAAATGGACAAAGTCCATCAATTATTTTAAGGCATTTTTATGTTTATACATTTTTTTTATAGATAATAATGTGTGATAATATTCATAATGTGTACCTTATTTTCATTGTCCTTCTATTTCTTATGAAACAAGTCTGTCTTTTCTATCTTCATCTTTCTCTCGATTTCGTTTTATTGTATAACACTAGACTTACGGCCGCATCACGCTAAAACGTCGATTCTCCTACAGCTACAGAAATTAAGCAACGTCGATCCTGGTCTGTATCCAGATGGGTCACCGCTTGAGAATACCAGTAACCTTTGATGTTCGGGTGGTGTAATGATAACGGCTTGAAATTGCTAATCGGAGAACCGAGGTTCAATTCCCGTTGAGGTTCGTTATATTCACTTACATGCAAATACCCTTGGGAAGGGTATGGATTCAATTCTTGTCCCCTCCCAACTATGGGTTAATTAGTAAGACTTGTTTCACTAAATCTTTATTATCTAAAATAACAAAAAAATATTTCTGGGTTTAACTAAACAGCAAAGGGTTGATAAGCTGTAAAAAACAAATCAATTATATTTATGACTCTCTCTCTCTTTGTTTTCTATCTCTCTTTTTTGTCCTATACTAGTTATTCTCTTTTTCTCTCTTTCTCTCGCTTTCTTTATCTCTTTCACTCACGATTCATCAGTTTATCTACTCCTTATTTTTCACTCTATCGCCTTTCACCTTTCACCTTTCACCTTTTCATCTTTTCACCTTTCACCTTTCACCTTTAGTGTTCTATATTTTCAAGCTCTTGGTTCTTTCTTCGATTTATCTCTGTCGAGCTTCCCTTTTTCTCCTTCACTAGATTTTCCCCATTCTTTCTCTCTCTCTCTCACTAGATGCATCCTCTCTCTCTCTCTCTCTCTCTGTCGCTCTGGTTTACCTCTCTGTTTCTTATCTGTCTTTATCTAGCTTCTCTCTCTCTCTCTCTAACATGTGTACATTTTTCTCTCTCTGACAACTTTCTTTAGCTTTTAATTCTCTCTCTCTCTCTCTCTCTCTGTTCTCCTCTTTTTATTTCTCTTTCTCTTTGGTTGCTCTCTTCCTTTCTATTTATTTCTCATTTGGCTCTCTCTCTCTTTCTCTCTCCCCCCTCTCTCTCTCTAGCACGTCTCTCTAGCTTCACTTGTATTTTCTTGTTTATCTTGCATCTCTTTCATTTTCTGCTTCTTTATCGCTGCCTCCCCCTCTCTTTCTTTCGATTTGCTTTATTCTCTACACTCTACTGTCGTCTGTCTTCTACATTCTCTTCTCATATACCACAGTCTCTCTCTCTCTCTCTCTGTTTTTGCCTTTCTCTCCAATCAGCTGCTTCTCTCCCTTTACTCTCTGCTGTTCTTTTTTCTACGTTACTCGCTTTCTTTTTCTTTTTGAGGTTTAATTTCTTTAACCAGCTTCGATCACTCGTCCTTATGCTTTTTCTCTGAATACATTTTCTCTCTTTTCACCGATTTCCCTCTATCTCCCTCCTTCTTTCTTTCTTTTTTTCTTTCTTTCTTTTTCCTTTCTTTCTCTGCTATCATCTTCCTCTCGTCTTTTTCTCTTACCTACAACTATCTATATTTCTTTCTTCCTCTCTCTCCCCCCCTCTCTCTCTATCGATTTATCTTTGTTTTATTTTTCTCTCTTCTATACTCTCTTTCACGCTGCATTCTTCTCACTCTCTTTGCTATGTTATCTCTTATCTTTTTGTCTTCTACTCTCATATTTTTTTTTATCTCGCTTTACTCATTTGGGATTTCATTTTCCCTCCTATTCTTTCAACCATCGCCTACTTGTTTCCTTATCTCTAATTCCTTTTGTCTTTTAATATCTGTAACTAGCGTGCATAAGGTTTTGGGTCAACTATATAAAATGATCACAGGCCATTGTTTTGGCTAAGATCGTTTATCAATAGTGCCTGCTAACAATTAGGATTTGAAAAGATATTGTTGCATTTTTGTAGGTGACGTGTAACAGAAAATAAACCGCTTCAAGCAACTTGAATCTGAAAAAAAGGCCACGTGAAACTATTGCTACAACAAGAGATCTCAGATGATAGTCATGATAACATACATAGTTCAAACTAGGAAATGTTCCATCAGATTAATATGGGTGTAAGGGGCCTTGACAAGTCACTGGACATCAACATTGGCTTGCACTAAAATCATGGCTAAAATTCTACTGAAACAAAGGTGAAATTTAAAGGGGAAGATGATTCAAGGAGATTTTGCTAGGTGTCTGGGAATTTTCAGAAACAGTATTCACACTATCCAAAAGACGTTTGCTACTACAGGAAGTAATTTAAGTGCAAGGAAAACAGGACGATCGCAAGACATGCTATATGAAAGAAAAGCCAGACAAGTGAGAAATTAATCCAGTTTTAACATTGAGGTTTCAGTTCATACTATATTACATCACACAGGATACTATTTACATTATTCGAACTATTGTCCTCATCTTTGTTGCCATATTTATCACAACATTCCGGCCGCTAAAAAACACATGCAATAATAACAGCAGAAATTGCAATATGAGCACTGGTAAAAAATGGTGGCTGAAGATATTAGGTTTATTATGCCCAGAAATTCAGACACATCTCTTCAAGGACATGTTACAGTGGATAATGGCGTTAGTAAGATCCAATGCCAGGATCCAAAGAGTGTGAGTGCAATACCTAGTTAAGGCGGTGGAGAACTTGGAGAGGGGAATTAACAGGAGATAACCGATAACTGACATCCATTAGATATGGCACGTGGAACTAGAACAGTCTACCCCAGTGAGCGAAATAAAGGGTTCAGTTTGACATTCCAAACACCTGAAGAAACGTTGTGATAAATATGACAGCAAAGATAAGGACAATAGTCCGAATAATGTAAATAGTGGACATAATACCTCATCACAGAAATATAGATAGATACTGAAAGGCCGAAACGTAATAAATTTGGCAACAAAGATGAGGACAATAGTCGAATAATGTAAATAGTGTACATAATACCTCATCTCAGAAATATAGGCAGATACTGAAGGGCCGAAACGTTGTAATAAATATGGCGACAAAAATGAGGACAATAGTCCGAATAATATAAATAGTGTACATAATACCTCATCTCAGAAATATAGACAGATCACACAGTATTAAGAAAAAAATCTGAACGGATCAGATGACCCAATAACACAAAATTCCATCATATATCACCTTAAGAAGGCCGTACCGTCCAAGAGTAAAGATGCGGACAATAGTCTGGACAATGTAAATTGTATAAACAGTTACTTATTTCAGAAATACAGACATTCCTGGTCTCAATATAATTGAACGTTTGGTTTGGTTTATCTTGTTTTACGGCATATCAACACCTCAATTTAATACCGACAAATGTTTAAGAATAGATTCGTATGAATAGAATATGGATTCTTTGTAAGAAACGAGTTTATAGATCAGATTTCATTGATCATTTTTGAAAAGAGGGTTTTATTTTATCGAGAATCAAATGTATTAGTGGTAATATTTTTTTTAAATGTATTGCTGGCATTTTTTCTATAAAAATGTATTTTTATACGTCATCGAGTTTGACCCCAGTTTGGGGGTTTAACTATTTGCCCATAGCTGGAACCCTAACAGGGTCAGGGTGGACCTGGGAGCAACAGAAATTAAGAGGTGATTCCATGCTCTTCAAAACCTCCCGATCAGAGGTCTTGCTGCTGGATGTAGTTTATGGTCATTTCCAACAATTGTTTAGGAACCGAAGAAAAAAAAACCGAGTATTCTCCAAGAACTTTTGGATTACTGCCAAAAAGAATGGGGAAGAATTAGCATTAAGAAAACGTGTTCTATTTAATGGCACATCAAATTGAGGCAATTCTTCAAGCGAAAGGCAGTAACACTAATTACAAACTCTGTAATTTGACGTTTTCTACTTTCTCTAATAATAAAGATAATTTCTTGTAAAAAGAATTCTTTTTAAATTATGAAAAGAGCTCAAAAGGTGAAATATTCGTTAGCATCCCGCTATTTTTGAGTGGCCTTTTTCAGCATCACTTTGCTTAAGATGCTCTCTCTTCCACCACAGAGCATTAACAAAAATGCAGTAACCTTTTTTTTCTAGCCCTCAAAGGTCATAAAATGTACTGAGAAAATCATACTGCTAATTACTTTCGGGTTGGGTGTAAAATGAACAAACGTAATTCATTTAGTAAGGTGTCACACGAACTTTTACACGTCAGTGTATATTTAACTCGACCTCTCTTTATTTATTTTTTACCATTCTCCCCCTCACCAACTGCACCTACTTCTCACTGCCTCATTGTCTCTCTCTTATTCTTTGATTCGTCACACTATCATTATTTTCTTGTTGATTTGTTCACTTCTCATTTACATTTGGCTTTCTATAGTTAGTAATACCTAATTCTATACTAACACTGAGATATACAGTAAGCTGTAATGAATTGCCGAAATGAGCGTTAATGGGAGGACGTAACCTCAAAGTTATGGGCGCGGAACGAGATAGATGACAGAGACTGTAATATGAACAACCCCTCTAGAGAAGAGACGAGTAGTATCTCATACGTTGCAAACGAGAATGTAATGTGAAGAACAACGGGTACCCCAACCTGATCAAAGGTTTGGGTACCCATTGGTAGTAACTGACGAATTAACGGAGTGAAATATAAGATGTAAGTGTCGAATTATTCATTAACACTCAGGCGTTTCCACTAAGTGGCATAATCTACTTCGTTACAAATCATACGCTTAGCAAAATCATAAGAAAAAAAGTTTCGCATCTGAATCAAAATAGGAAGATGATACAGTTTTTATACGGTTCTGGGTAAGACGATAAACTACATCCGTGTCCTGGGTAAGACGATAAACTACATCTGCGTCCTGGGTATGTTGATAAACTACATCCGTGTCCTGGGTATGTCGATAAACTACATCCGCGTCCTGGGTATGTCGATAAACTACATCCGTGTCCAGGTTATGACGATAAACTACATCCACGCCCTGGGTAAGGCGATTAATTTCATCCGTGTTCTGGGTAAGACGATAAACTACATCCGCGTCCAGGGTAAGACGAGAAATTTCATCCGCGTCCTCGGAATAACTAGGTTGCTGTCAGGGTCCCAGCTATGGGCAAGCAGTCATAGAAAAAGGGGTCAAAGCACCGTGAAAATATAAAAATAGGTTTTAATACTATCAAAGTTTTTTTGTAAAAATATTACCAGCAATACATTTCTGGAAAAAAATATTACCAACAATACATTTTTTTTTAAAATTTTACCAGCAATAAAAATCTTGGAGGCACTAAATAACCCATTGAGGTGTTGATATGCCGTAAAACAAACCAAACCGTTTTTAAACATGCAAATATTCCGAAAGATAATGTCATAAAGATATAACAAAGTTATTTGCAGGCGCATTAAACAAACTTTACTTTTGTCCTAAGCAAAGGGCATATTTAGGTGGGGTAATGGATAAGTACTCGGCTTGAGGATTTGGAGAGCCGCGTTCGAATTCCAGTAGATTTCATTATGTTCACTTACGTTACTTTACACTTACCCTTGAGAAATGTATAATCTCATCTCTTCCTCCTAGCTATGGATAAATAGTAGGAGAGATTGGGACCTTTATACCTTTGTTTGCAACCAGTCTAGGAGAAGGAAAACTAAATTCAGACTACTCTGGAGAGAGATGGGCTGCATTAGATTTAGTGCACCTAAGACCCTACGGGGATACTGGATTCGTGATAGTAGTATTTAAGCACCTCCGGCTGCTTGATGCAAGAACAGGCAAAAGAAATATCTATCTGAAATCTATTTAATCAACCTGAATGTGAAGAAGCCAATTTATTACCGCTTGACTTGGTTATTAGTCAGTAATTCGATCTCGATGACTGCTTTAATTAATTAATGCCATCAAACATTCTCACCACTCTGTCACAGAATGGAGACCATTACTAACAAAAGACGCTTATATGAACAAAATTATTTTTCTAATACAAAATTTAAATATTATTATTTATTACCCGAAAAAAATAATCGCGTTTTGTTAATTCTGGTTTCGAATTACAAAAAAGAATTACTTTTCTTAATTGCTATTTCACTAAATATTTTTATTTTATGTATTTATTTTAGTTTGAGTCATACTTCAATTAATTCCTTTTTTGTTTAAGGTAGAACCTAGAACCGAAATGCAAATTTCATAAAGCTTCCTGAAACCTAACTAAAAGTCAATAAAATATCAAATAATTGCTGAAAATTTATGTCATTTCTGATCATCCATAAGAGCTGTCATCAACTTGGAAGCTTCTCGATAAGTCAATAAAAATCAAAGATAGAGGGGACTCATCGTTAAGAAATGCTTGTATATTAGTTTTTTATGTTTTATGTAAGTAATATTTATTTAAAATCAGATTAACTTAACTTTAAATTTTCTAATTTTACTCAAATAACGTGTCACAAATTTATAATTTAATTTTGAAAGATTTTTTAAAACCGATACATTTGTTTGTTTACCAATTTCTTAAAATTAAGAAAATTTTTTAAAAAAATTAAAAAATCGAGCAATTATTTGACATTCCAGTCTATATAATTTCTTTCTGAAATACACCAGAATATTTTACTTACTGGAAATAATAAACTTAATCATTTAGCTTTCAATTAAAACTAATATGAAATCTTCAAGAATGCTTTTTCATTTTTAAAATTTAATTTTAAACCTTAGGTTATCGAAAATTCAGTGGAGGTGCCTACGCAAGAATATATTCATATGGCCATATTGTGATTTCATGCAATCAAATTTAGATCGAAATATTTCATTGGCATTTACTGTTTGTTTCTATCAATATGTAAAATATATGGCCGATATAGAATAAAAAGAGTGAGAAAGAATTTTGATTAAACGTTACTAGGTAATCTCCCATCTTATTGCGCCTAAATAGATAATCCAATAATTCACTGAAATCCAAGTAATCAGAGCAGAGGCCATGATGTTTTCCCCCGGATTCTTTCATGTTTGTTTTCATTATTTTAGCTACAAGCATACAAGAAATCTTGTCAGATAAACATGTCGTCACGGAATCAGTTTTTGCAGGCTTTTTTTTTCTCAGCATGTTATCTAAATTTTCTGTTTCGTATCAATTTCAGTGTCACGGAATTTGCCAAACCAGGAAGAAACGAAGGAAAAATTTATTATGCATAAAAACTGATGCGACTCATCGTAAGAAAACCCGTTCACTGTGCCTATCTTGGTGGTCAGTTATGTTGAAGAAAAAGCATTACATGTGTATGTATGTCTGTGTCTGTGTGTCTGTGTGTGCGTGGCTGTGTGTCTGTGTGTTTGTATGTGTGTGTATGTGTGTATGTGTGTCTGTGTGTTTGTATGTGTGTATGTGTGTCTGTGTGTTTGTATGTGTGTGTCTGTGTGTTTCTGTGTGTGTGTTTGTATGTGTGTGTGTTTATGTGTGTGTGTTTGTGTGTGTGTGTGTTTGTATGTGTCTGTGTGTGTGTTTGTATGTTTGTGTATGTGTTTGTATGTCTGTGTGTCTGTATTTGTATGTATGTGTTTGTATGTGTGTATTTGTGTGTGTAGGTGTGTTTGTGTTTGTATGTGTGTGTTTTTGTGTGTGTTTGTATGTGTGCTTGTATGTGTGTGTTTGTATGTGTGTGTTTGTATGTGTGTGTGTGTTTGTGTTTGTATGTGTGTATTTGTGTGTATGTATGTATTTGTGTGTGTGTGTGTGTGTGATCTAGGACGTGATCTTCTGATTTGCATGCATGACACATAAAAAAAATTCTTTTCGGAGGTCAAAAAAAGAGTAAATTCAGTAGCGAAACCTTTTCTCTCTATGCAATATAATCCTTATTTATAGCAAACATTCCTTCAGGGATCTCTTTCTCTTCGTAATAAAATGAAGAGAATTCTGTGAAATCTGTCACCAAAAAAGAGAAAAGTCAGTAGAACTCATTGATAAAAGAAGCGGAAAGTCGAAAGGAGAGGAGATAGAGGAAAAGAATTTATACAAGCGATAATCAGAGATAAACGAGATGGAATGAAAAAAATAGAAAAAAAAATCTCCAGAAGAAAAGCCACTGTTTAAAATTAAGAATTATAAAACATTACTAGCAGCATGGCCCGGCGTTGCCCGGGCTTGATTCAAAAATCGTACGACTCATACAGCAATCGCTATCCCTTGACTTAAAATATTTTTGCCCTTCCTTGCCTTTAAAGGAGTGCCCTAGCCGTGCTGATGTTGCTACATGCCTTACTTCTTGCCTATCTCACACTGCAAATTTTTTCTAAGCTCTATACTAAACATTAAATCTGTTACGAAAAAAGGAACTAAACAAATTGATACCAAACGATCCAGCTTTAAAAAGGACTCGTAACTGGAAAAACCGAATGAAAAAAGAATGTTAACAACAAATACTTTTTTCACACCCAACCCAGTTCTGCGGAATCAGAATCAACGTTGAGTTTAAGCAAGCGAATGAGTCAATTGGACTAAAGTGCCATGCAGATTTAAATTTTTCCCACTTGTGACGAATGCAGCTATCGATTATTTTTGCATGCTAGCATGCTAGTTAACATTCGTGTCAGTCAGTTGTTGGCTCTCACGCTGGCCAATAGAATCTTCCTGCCTATTCGTGGCAGCCAGCTATAGGCTCTCACTCTGGCCAGTAGAAAATGGCCGCAAACTACATGAAAACTACCGTAGATGCATGAAAAAATCGATTATTTTCACTATCGATGGGGGTTGTGAAATGCGAAGTCGGTTTTGGCCTTTCCGCTAACTTGGAGCATGTGCATGTAAATTTTGGTGCAAATCCGTCGAAAATTGCGGGCGTGCATTCATTTACGCACACACACACACACACACACACACACACACACACACACACACACACACACATCCTGCTTCTTATAGATAGAGATTAAAATTTACTTTCTTGAGAGAGTCTTTAACATTTGCAAAGAAAAAAAATATAAAAAACAGAATTTTTTTTTTAATTTTAAATCAAACAAAATTACGCATTTTTCTGTTTCAGTCTACTGCCTTGTATTAATCTTCAGTTTTCTTTTTTTTAATATTTCGGTGTAAAAAGTTGCATTACGGCATTAGAACTGTGGTAAAAATTCAACATATATTTTTACCTGCAAGAAACAGATATACAGATGAGACAACAAAAAAAAAACCTGTATCATCAGTGCATTTGCTTTTATGACGAAAATGCCAAGTGACAAGACCAAGATAGGTAAATTATATTTTTAGTGAATTTTGAACAAAAAGATTGGTTTTTGCAACATAAAAAATATAGTAAATGCGAAA